TTTAGATTCATAATGATTATGCAAAGTAACAGAAAATCAGATAAGAATATAAGCTAATCCTTGGTTTAATTGCAGAGAAAATTAAACAAACAAAACCTCCAGCCGACAGTGGCTATTACAATAAATGGCTTCAGAGAATTGAGTTCTTAAAATGTTTAGAAATCGTGATTCTGAACAACTAATACAAAATCAAAGATAGAGACAATTATACCTCCCGGTACCTAGTTAGGTACACTTTAAGCGATGCAATGTAATCTTCAAATCCTAACGTAACCATTGCACAAAGCAAATCATCACCATTGATCGTCTTCCTCTTCTCTTTCTGACACTTATCACACGCCCTATTTGAAAAAACCTCGAATCACATTTCACAAAACACGATTTGAAAAAACCTCGAATCATATTTCACAAAACACGATCCTAAAGCATGAAATCCTAATATAGCAAATACGTAAACGTGAATAGATAGATATATGGGATCGAGTACTCGTTAGTGATAAAGCTGATGAACTCGGAGACGCATTCCTGAACGGTGTCCTTGGCATCCTTAGCGATCTTGCCGTTGGAAGGCAACGCCTTCTTCATGATCCGACTGATGTTGGCGATTGGCGATGGGTAGGTAGCGGTCCTGATTGTGAACGTCGGAGTGAGGGAGAGTGGTAACGGAGAGCTCCAATCGAGGTTGCAAATCAAAGAGTTCCAAGGCAGCGAGTGGGAACCACTGAGAGAGGAGGGGGAAGAGAGAGAGCAGAGAAGGTTTGAGCGGTTCTCCAGATCTAGGGTTTCGAAATACAAAAACAGAGAGAGATAGAGAAGTAGAGGGAGAAAGTGATCGAATTTAAGCAGGGGAGAGATTAAATTCCTGTCGTTGAGGAGGAAGAGGGTCTGTTAAAGTAGAAGAACAAAGAGTGAGAGAGAGATAAGAGGGATAGTTGCGGGAGAGAGGGAGGGAGTTGTAGAGACGTGCTTGGGCAGATGTGGGAGAGAGAGCAGAGAAGGTTTGAGCGGGAATCAAATTGATCTGCACCCTTAATATATTTTTAGGATTCATCTCAGCCATTGGATCAAAATGTATCTCACATACATTTTTGACATAAATTCAATAGATATATTGTTATAAAGTGAACACTCTTTATATTGTTCTGAAGCCTTCTCTCCCTATTCTACTGAGTATCTAATTTTTATTTAAAAGATGTCTCTCCTTATATACATTTGGTGTTGCCCTGATCTTTATCCCCTTATGCTGCCAAGTAACCATGCATTACATTCCTTATTATTTTACAAATATTAAAAATTTGTCTAAGATTGACCTTTTTAACCACTTGTTTGTTGGTTTTTTTCGTCTTTATTGAAATATATTTTTTCTTTTTTCTTTTTATAAATATTTTTAGGTTCTACTTGACAAACTGGACTAGAAAATTTATAATATATATATATATATATATATGAAAAAAAATCCACTAAATGCACCCCAAAAAAAAAATTAAGATTTTTGTTTTGATTTTTGTTTTTTTGTATTAATGATTTTTATTATGAAATTTTTCAGTTTTTCATTTTTTAAATTCCTCGAACCTGAGAAGAAAATCTTTTTTTGACATAAATTAAAAAAAAATTATAAAAACAAAAAAGTTGAGAAAAAACTACAAGAAGATTGATTCCAAACTCACCTTAATATAGCGGCCAAACCTGACCAACCTAATGGAGATACATTCTGAAAGTAATCAGTAAATGACTTAGTAGTTTCTCCATTCATTATTTGTCTGGTGCCCGTGGGGAATGACACCTATCACTTTAATTTTGTTAGCTATTTTTCATATCATATTATTTATACAGTATAATATTGTGCGCCAAATTAACCTTGTAGCCGAAAATTTTATAAATAAATTATTATATAGTTGAAAAATAAAAGAAGACTCACAAAACATGTTACGATTTTTTTATTTTTTTCCATCACTACTTAAACAACGTAATGTAATATTTATTATTTATAAAATAAACAGTTTAAATTATCTAAACGAGATCCGTGAGGAGGTTAAGGAGTTCAAACATGACAATTTAATTCAAATTTAGAATTGAGGAAAGCCAAACTATTTTTGGTATATATACATTTGGGGGAGTAAACGAAAGATTATGTAAGTAATCTCTTAAAAAAGAGTAAGTTTATGTGCATAGAAACTAAACACATAATGAAACACAATAATTTCACAAGGGGTGACACCCACCCTTTGTGAGAGGGTTGTGTCCCATTTTGTGTCACCCCTTATGAGAGGATTGTATTTCATTGTATTTAATTTCTGTGTTCCTAATATTACTGCTTAAAACAATGGTTGAAATGCAATAAATGCCAACATTAAATATGCCAAGATGTTTTTATTTTTATTTATTTATTTTTTTAAGTAAGTATTTGATTATATGTCCAAAATTGGTAACCATATTTGTCTTTGGTGTTGCATCTCCACCAGCTATACAACTCTCTAAACCATTGTAATGCTTGCTATATTTAAATTAAATTAAACCAATAACAATTAGACTGTGTTTATTTATTTTATTTTATTTTATTTAGTTATAATTGGCAAAAATCTGTTGTTAGTTTATTAAATTACCAATTTGGAGAGTTTAACCCTCAATCTCTTCGTTACAAAGTGTTGCCTCCGTGTCATTTGGCTACAAGGCCATGAGTTAAGCTGCATTTAATTAATTGGTAAAGAAAATATTAAAAACAATTATTATTATTTTTTTCCGAAAGAAATACTTTTCCTCAAATGATATTTGGTAAACAGGTCAAATTTATACATTATCATAAAGTTTAAATTCTTTTTTATACATAAATTTTCTTGTAAACTAAATAACTAACAAAAAGGTATATTATTTGTATCTTTTATTTTATTTTAATTATTTTTTGAAAATATTTTCTTGTATAATATTTCTAACAAGTGGACCAATCTTCATTGATTTAATCTAAAGAATGCCTTTTATTTAACTTTGTATTTTTAAGCTAAACCTTCTAACTTCTAAACACTATAAGAAAATTTGAATTTGGCGGTGTTTTTGTTTTGGCGTTAGAAAACATTTCTTACGGTATTAAAGGTTTCAATGTCATTTATAATTTACAATAATCGGATCAAATGAAGAGAAATTATTAAATATTTTAGAAATGAGATGCATGTAAAAAACACATTGCATTCATTGTATCAAATGGGATGCTCCTTTTACTTTCTTACGGTAATTATTCTTTTTACTCACCCACTCACTTCTTCTCATTCTCCTTTTATTTAATTTTGTATTTTTAAGTAAAACCTTCTAAACAAAAATTTGGCTCAGGTGCCAATTTTATTTTGGCATTTTACGAAATGTGTCACACATTAGATGACGTTTCTTAAATTATTAAAAAAAAAAAAAAACACTGTATTAAAGGTTTCAATATTTATAGAACATTTTCACAATAGACGACATTTCTTTTAAAAAATACAGTATTAAAAGTTTCAACTCATTTATAAAAGGCGGTATAAAAATTGATATCCAAGATGTGTGTGCCCTTTAGAATAATCTTGTAATTTTAATTTACAGATTATTAATTGGCCTCCATTGGCTTAAACATGGTAACTCATTGTCCACAATCATCTTATCAAACTTGGGAAATATATATACAAATTAATTGTCAACTTAATGGTTTGTTAGTAATTACAGTCTCAAGCTGATCTGTCAAATATTCATTAATTTATACATAAAATTGTAAGACATGAAATTGTCGGACATGAAATTGTAAGACTTAAATTAATAAATACATGTAAGAATTCATCTTTTATATTTATTGAGTTAATTATTTAAAAGTCTTATTTATAAATGTTGTGGTAGCTTAGGTCCTATTTAAGATTTTTTGAACCAATAAGTCCTATTTAATAAAACTGAGAATATTATCATTTTTTTTTTCAATTTTTAAAACTAAGAACATTATCAATTTTACATAGTAACGTTCCAGATAATTGTTTCACTAACTGATGAAAAAAAAACAGAACATGAGATTAAACGTTTTTGTTTTTCTACTAATTAGTTTGATTCAACTATCTAATAAAACTGATAACAATATCAATTTTTTCCAATTTTAAAACTGAGAACATTATCAATTTTGTCATTTTTAAAAGTTTTTTGTTTTTCAATTTTACACATCAATGTTTCATCCTCATGCTCCTTTATAGACACAAAATTTTTGCACAAAAAACTAATTCAATTTTTTTCAAATTTTTCAAAAAAAAAATATTAGTTTTTTTTCCACATAATTTTTTTTTTCCAATTCGAAAATTGATGTTTTAAAGTTTTGAAAATCAAAATAAATGTCAAATCATCATATTCTTTTATAGATAATCATAAATAATAAACAATCATTATTTGAAGGGTAATACCGATTATTAAAAATTTAATGGGACTTGAAAATTCAAAAAATCTTAGTTAAGACTTAATGGAGTATAAATTTATAAATTAAGACTTGTGTGTAAATGTTCCATATTTATTTATTAGACGTAACAAACTCAAATGAAGAGAAATTATTGAGTATTCCAGAAATAAGATGAATGTAAATGACACATTACATTAATTGTATCAAATGAGATGCTTCATTTATTTTCTTACCCTACCTATTCGTAATTTCTTTTCTTCTCTTACCCCCTTACTCGTAATCATTTTCCTATCTCCCCTGTCTCTTTCTCTCTCAACACCTAAAACTCTATTCGTAATTTCTTTTCTTCTCTTATCCCTTATTCATAATCACTATCTTCTCTGTCCTCTCTTTTCTCTCAACACATCAATCATTTATTCGTAATCACTTTCTTCTCTCTTCTCGCTTCTCTCTTCTCTCTCTCTCTCTCTCTCTCAACACATCAATTGATCTCTTACCCCCCTTTATTCGTAATCACTTTCTTTTCTCTTCTCTCTCTTTCTCTCTACATATCAAAAATTTGAAAATCAATCCTTTTTATACTCAATTTTCTGATTGAGCTTCAACCATGGATGCAAATGAATTGACTCCTGAGAAAAATATGGTAATTTAATTACTAGTTCTTTCAATTCAAAGTCTTAAAAATCCTCTCTTTTTCTCCTTCATTTTTATTTATATACTTGATAATTGCACATATATTGTTACACATAATCTTTAGATGCCCCTCAAAAAAAGCAATATAAAAATGAACCATATGTATAAATTTTTATTTATAAATTTATATCATTTTACAAATCTGTTGCATTTCTTGGTTTTTGGGGGTGTAATTTATATTAATTCACAGATCTGTTGTGTGACTTGTTTTTTTTTGAAGTTGTGATGCCTAAAACTGAGTATTCTAGAATTTTGCATGTCATTCTTTTGTCAATTGATAAGATATTATTATCAAATACAATAGGAATTTTATTAAACTTGATGTGGTAATTGCGGATCGATGTAGATTTGAGGGGTTAGATATACCTTTTCATAGACGGTAAGATAATCCAAATTAATTTGTTTGTATGAATTTGCTTATGTTGAATTTTTTTTGAGAATAAAATTATATGAATTCAAAGCTATTTTTTATGGCGGCAAATTATACCGGTAATATTGGTACTTTATTGTTTATTTCATTTTGGTCCCTATAAGTTGGATTTACCCGATTTTGTCTATAAATTTTGAATTTTATCTCAATTGGTCCAAAATTTGGTCCAATTAATATCGTCCATTAAGATTTTTGATAAAAATTATGCACGGGACTTATTTTTAAGATCAAAATGGACAATTCATCCATATTACCTTTTAACTCAGTGAGATAATGATGTAGATAAAAAAATAAAAAAAATAAAAACTTCTCCTAAAATCTCTACTACATTAATTAACTCACTCATTAATTAAGTTAAACATACTTTTCTTAGATGGTGAGATAATTCAAATTAATTTGCATATATCAATTTGCTTATGTTGAAATTGTTTTAGAATAAACTTTGTTGTATATCTACCCAAAATCATTTTTTATTAGAAAAAATTATGCTTGTGGTCCTCATGATTTATTTGTTTCATTTTTTTTTTTTTTTTTTGAAAAAGTAATAAAATATGAAGACTAAACCATCTCATATCAAGAAATGAAATAATTTTATACTATTATATAATAAATTAGAATATTCCTAAAATTTTGCATGCATCAATATATATAGAAATCATGTACAGATGATAAAATGAGACTATGTTTATGCTTTATTGACATTGTTATTATAAATTTATAAACATGACTTTATTTTACTAGAGTTGACTGGTTCTTCTGAAACTACTAGTACTATGTTATTTGTAGGAATTCAACAATGAAGAAGGTAATGCAAATGATGTTATTGAAGCTCGTCCCATCTCTTTTAAAAATCCGGATAGCAATACTATATATACCATAGAAAACGAGAAGGTAAATTCTCTCTCTCTCTCTCTCTCTCTCTGTTTGTGTGTGTGTTGTTTTCTAAAATGGTAAATATCTAGCAATAATTTAGCATGGTGATATTCAATTAATTCTAATCTATAATCAATACAATCATTGACTACTACAAAATAAATGAGTAGATGGACAATCTTGAGGAGGACAATCTTGAGGAAGGCAATGTGAAAAAAGGGTCATTTTTATGTGAATATTTTGATTTTATTTATTTACTTTTTTGTATTTGATCAAATGCAATTCACTAAAAAAGTCATTGATTACTAAATTAACTTTCATTATCTAGAATCATTGTACATTTATTCAATCTCATTAATTATTTCATATATTTTGTTATACCAGTTAACAATGGAGGAGCGAAAAGTCGGTTGGATAGAACAACCGAGAAAGCGCCCGAACGGAAGAGCCGACAAAGTAGTTGAATATGTTTCTTCTTTGAATTTGTTGTCATTTTATGCATCATAGATCATGTAGATGTCTTTTACTAAATTGCCTATTAAGTTAAAATGCTATGCAAAAAATAATAGTTCTTTTAATAACCTTTTAATTAATGCAACCTAACAACCAAAGCATTTGGCCTAATGATTGTGTAACACTCTTTGTAATGTAAGGTCACAGGTTCAACTGCTATAGGTAAGAGTTTGATACCTTTTGTGATGGTTTGTTTCTCCTCTATTATGGAGCTGTATGTAGTTAGTAGTGATTGTTGGGATTAGTTTGTTGCTTGTGTTACAAGTTTGATACGTTTTGTAGTAATTTATTTCTTCCCCATTATAGGGGTTGTGTGTAGTTTAGTAATGGTTGTTGGACTTGATTTCTTGGTTGTGTTAGGCTTTGTTAACTTTGTGGACTTTCTAGCTATAATGTGAGTTAGTAGTTTGTTTGATGATGTAAATATTCCTTATATTTGTAATCACACTCTTATCAAATTGATAAAAAAAAGAAAAAATAATGCAACCTACCACTCTTTTTAGCAATGGAACTACAAGAAAAAATAAAAAATAAAAAATACTTTCTATGACTGGTTTCTATGACCAAACAATGACTTCGTTGCCTACATACACTTCTATGACCACATCTGCTGTTCGTCACAAAAGGTTGAAAATTTTTAGAACTAAACATGTGTTCGACATAGAATAATAGGTCTTTTGCAACGATGAAATTTTTGGTCTTAGAATGTTGACAAATTGAAAATAAATAAATAAATTGTTGCAAAATTTTAAAAAAAAAATGTAAATTAAGTGACTTTGGTGGCTAAAAACGTTTTTTGACAACGCTTCGATATGGAAATGACAACGAAAATGTAGTAGCCGTGGAAAAGGTTCATCAACAAAATTGTAGCCTTTGGCTACAAAATATTCATTGTACAAATTATTATTTTTTATTTATTTTGTGTAGAACTCATGTCATGAGAAGATTTCTCAATTATAGTTATTTCATTTATTGATTAGCATGTCAAATTTTATTTATGATGAGAAAGTAATTAGACTTATGAAGAAACTACTCTTTATTTTTTGCTACTTATTTCTATCTTGATTCTAATCTTGTTCACGTTCTCTATAATGTTCAAATAAATAAATAAATAAAAATGGTTCACATATGGTACATATATGACATACAATGTTGTCAATAGTTGTTCACAACATATTTTATTTCATTTTACGGCTTGCCATTAATGCTACTAATAATGAATAGGTTTTTACAACATGTCTTAACATGACTTTTAGGTGCACGTTATGAAAGAGTTTTTATAATGTGTATTACATGTTGTAAAAAGTCAATTACGTTGTAGTGACAAACATAATTGTTTTCAGAATTTTACTACAAAATATGTAGCAATGATAATTTTAATTATGAGCCCATATGATTAATGTGTTAAATTGAAAGGAAGAACCACAAACATCCACATAGCATTACTCTTAAAAATAATGTCTTGTATTGCTACTTTTACATTACAATTCTTTATGTTTTGAAATGAATTAAATATGATAATGTTTTCACTGACATTGATAAGAAGAACATAATTTTTTTTCTTTTTAATTTTTTGCAGTACTACTATCACCTAAAATCAGATGAGATGTGCAGATCACTTGTTGAGGTGCATGATTTTATCAAGGACGGTATTCCAATACGTTCATTGAAGAAAATGAAAAAGAAACAAGATGAGTCTCCGGTAAGCTTAAGTAATATACTTGCCATTCAAAAAGAGAATTTAATTACTCATTGTCGAACATAATTTTTTGTGTTATTGAATTTTATTTTTTATAGTCTAAGAAGAAAAGAGGATCGTCATTACTAAAGAAAACCGTTGTTGGCACTTACAACTTTCAAACCAAGATGATTTATCAACTAGAAGCACCAGCTGTGATTGAAGAGAATCCACAACCACCCCTTGATAACCTTGTCCACCCTGGTAAGGAAACAAAGGTTTCATCTAATAATCATTTTTTTTTCCAGCTTTAATATTTTTATCAATTTCTTATGTATTATCTTTATATTAAATTTCATTTTTTGTTAAATTCTCTTGAATCACTGAAAGCGGTTGAGGAATCACTACAAGAATTTTCACTTTTGACGACTAAATTTTTAGTCGTCAAAAGTCACTATTTAGTCATCGAAGGCTTTTAGCGACAAAAACATTTGGTCGCAGAATTAGTTGGGGAAGAATTGTCGGGATAGATCATTGGCGACTAAAATTATTTTAGCCGCCAAATGTACTACATTGCCAACTAAGTTTTTAATCGCCAAAAGGTTTGAAATAAAATTAAAGATCATATTTTCGGCGATTAATTTTTTTGTCGCTAAAAGTTCAGTTATTTTTAACGACTAATCATTTAGTGGCAAAAAGAGCTTTAGCTATCAAATATATTAGTGGCCTAAAGTAAATAATAATGTTTTGGCTACTAATTTTAGTTGCCTAAAGTCGTTTTTTTTTTTTTTCACTTAAAGTCAATTCTTTTTTTTTTTTTGCCTACTAAAGGTTTTGTTGCCTAAAGTCTTATGTTTTTAGCTACTATGATTTTAGTCGGCAAACATTTTGTGTTTTGGCTACTAAAAATTTTGTCGCCTAAAGTCTCACATTTTTTTGCTACTAAAGTTTTAGTCGTCAAAAGTTTTTTTTATATTTCTTCACCTTATTTTTTTAGCTACGACATATTTTAGTCACCATATGTTTGATTATTTTTTGCTACAAAATATTTTAGTCCCAAATGTCTGATTTTTTTTTTTTATTTTTTTTTGGCTACTACACTTTTTTTTTTTTTTTTGGCTACTACACTTTTAGTAGCCAAAACTATTGTCCGAATTATTTTTTTTCGCTACTAACAATTTAGTTGCCAAAACATGCTCTTATGTTTCATCGCAAAATTATAATTTATTCACAACCTGTCTATATTCCATGCAACCTGTAATTCGTATATAAACAAAACAATATATATACAATCCATCATTTCACAACGTAAAATTATCAATCATGCCACAGTCTATATTACTTCCAACCATCCAAAAATGAATAACTTTAAATGTATATATTCTATACAAACCAACTATTGTCCAAAGTATCAATCATGCCACAATTCATATTACTAAACAATTTTAGTAGCTAAAACTAACTATACGGCTATTAAAATAATCTTTTGTCGCTGAAAATATACTTTTAGCGACCAAAGATAAAAAAAAAAATTCTTTTCATTCGGCTACTAAACAATTTTAGTAGCTAAAACTAACTATACAGCTACTAAAATATTCTTTTGTCACTAAAAATATACCTTTGGCGACCAAACTTTTGGTCGCCAAATATAAAAAATAATTTTTTTTTTATTCGGCTACTAATGCTACAAAAAAAAATTTCGGTCACCAATTGTGATATTTTAGTGACTAAAGTTTTTTTAGTCGCCAGTAATCAATATTCCTCGACTAAAAAAAATTAGTAGCTAAATATTTGACTTTTGCTGACTAATTTTATTTTTAGTAGCCAATTCCACAACTTTAGGCGACTAAATTTTTTTTAGTCGCCAAAAGTAATCACCAAAAATACATTTTGTTGTAGTGAATATTTACAACCATTAAAAGATAACCTTGTCAAACTTGGTAAGAAAACGAAGGTTTCAATCTAGTAATCTTTTCTTCTTCTTCTTCTTCTTCTTCTTCTTCTTTTCATTTTGACTTTACCAAAACAATAGTATTTTTCTCAATTTCTTCTATATTCTACTTATACTATATTTAATTGTTTTTATTATATTATCTACAATCACCAAAAGTGGTTGAAGAGTATGCACAGCAACCACATGATAACCTTATTACTCTTAGTAAGAATTGGAGTCTTCATTCCCTAATCTTCCTTTTTCTTTTAAAAAGTATAAACACTTCTAAGAATGTGACGTATTCATGTCGTGTCCATGTCGAACATTAACACTCTTTGGACACTTCTGACACGTGTTTAACACTTGTCAAAATGGATCCTATTTTTTATTTTTTTTAAGATTGACTTGGACACTTAGAGGATACACATGTCTATCATTTAAGCACATGTCTATCGATTAGACATGAGTGAAACGAATTATAAGTTTCAATAAAATAACTTAAGATACAATAATAAAAAATAAAAATAAAATAAAAAAACTAATTAAAAACGTTTTTGTCAATTTCTTCTATATTCTCTTTATATTATATTTGATTTTTGATTATCTTCTCTAGAAACACTAAAAGCGGTTGAGGAGTATGCACAACAATCACTTGATAACCTTATTGACCCTAGTAAGAAAACGGAGACTTCACCGGAAATCATTCTATTTATTTTTATTTTTTTTTCATTTTAATCTAAGAAGTATGGACACTTCTAAGAAAGTGACGTATCCATGTCGTGTCGTGTTGGACACTTGCACTCTTTGCACACTTTTCGACACGTCTAACACTTGTCAATTTGTTGTCTGATATTGTAGTATTGATGTTCTTGAGTTTATTAGCAATTTCCGGAATTGTTGTTGCTCCATTTTGATGTGAGGGTTTTGCCATGATATAATTTGCACTCTCCATTACTCTTATTTATGTTTGCTTTATTGTTATGTAATGTCATCAACACATATTTTATTACATAAAAATTCATCCAATAATTTATTTTTATTTTTTTTTCCATTTTAACTATACCAAATCATAATATTTTTGTCAATTTATTCTACATCCTTTTATATTATATTATATTCTCTTGAATTATCAAAAGCGGTAGAGGAGCATCTACAACCATCAATGGATAATCTTGTCGACTGTGGTAAGAAAACGGAGGCTTGATCCAGTAATCATTTTTTATTTTATTTTTTCATTTTAACTTGACCACATCAATAATATATATATATATATATATATTTTGGTTAATTTCTCCTATATTATCTTTCTATTGTATTTGATTTTTTTATTATATTCTCTACAATTACCAAAAGTGATTGAGAAGTATTTACAACTATCGCTGGATAGCTTTGTCGACCTTGGTCGGTAAAAAGACAAATTCTTTATTTAGTAATTTTTTTTTTTTTTTTTTTTTGGTCATTTTAACTTTACAAAATCAATAATTTTTTTTTTGTGTGTCAATTTCTTCTATATTCTCTTGTTATATTTGATTTTTTATTATATTCTCTACAATCACCAAAAGCGGTTGAGAAGTATGTACAAGGCCCCCGGGCCTGATGGATTTAATATGGGCTTTTTTCAGAAATGCTGGCATTTAGTGAAGGAGGATGTCTTGCTATTTATGAGGGACTTTCATCAAAATGCCAAGTTGGTTAGAGGGTTAAACAGTTCCTTCATAGCTTTAATCCCAAAAAATGAGAACCCAGCAAGCCTAAATGAATATAGGCCCATCAGCTTAGTGGGTTCCATGTACAAGATTTTGGCCAAGGTACTATCAAACAGGTTGAAACAGGTACTGCCTAGGATCATAAGTGAAACTCAATCGGCTTTTTTGAGGGGCAGAAACATTTTAGATGGCATACTTATTGCTAATGAGATAGTAGATGGGTGGAAGAAGGCTAGAGGATGTGGAGTTGTGCTTAAACTGGATTTTCATAAAGCTTATGATTCTGTCAATTGGGAATTTTTGTTCTCTATGTTAGTTAAATTTGGTTTTGGAACTAAATGGGTGAGTTGGATGAAGGTATGTGTTACTTCTATAAGATCTTCAGTGTTGGTTAATGGGTCTCCAACTCCTGAATTTAGTCCACAGAAGGGACTTCGTCCGGGAGACCCACTGTCACCTTTTCTGTTCATTATTGTGGCTGAGGCACTTAATATCTTAATGGGTAGAGCAAAAGATTTGGGACTGATTACAGGGGCATCTATTGGGCCTAGTAGTCTGCGGATTACGCATCTACAATTTGCGGATGATACCATTTTGTTCTGTGAAGCTGATTGGGGGGAAATAGTAAATATAAAACGAATTCTCAGGTGCTTTGAAGTCTTGTCAGGACTTAGAATTAATTTTAACAAAAGTGTGGTTTGTGGGGTGGGGATTCCAAATGAGCTGGGCCAGGATTTTGCAAGAAGGTTGAATTGTAAATTTCAAAAATTGCCCATCAAATACTTGGGGTTGCCATTAGGGGCCAGCCCAAGTAGTAGCAGAACTTGGCTGCCAGTGATTGAGAAATGTAAGCAAAGACTTGCTTCTTGGAAGAGAAGATATCTATCCTTCGCCGGTCGGCTGACCTTGATTAAGTCTGTCCTTGCTAGCCTACCTATTTTTTATCTCTCAATATTTAAGATGCCTGAGATGGTAGCAAAAAAGATGGAAAGTATTCAATCTGCTTTTCTTTGGGGTGGCTCAGATTTGAGGAGGAAAGTGCACTTGGTGAAATGGGAGGATGTTTCTAAAAGTAAAAACTTAGGAGGGTTGGGTGTTAAGAGAATTAGAATTATGAATGTATGCCTTTTACTGAAGTGGTGGTGGAGATTTGGTGCTGAAGAGAACTCTCTTTGGAAGGATGTTATATGTGGAAAGTACAGGGAGACAGGTTGGGCATGGTATCCCTCCACTGAGAGGACTAGTAGGTTGTCTAAAACTTGGGCTGATATTATTTACACTGTGGCCTCTAGGGCAGATCTGATGCAATTTTTTAGGAGTAATGCTGTGGTCAAGCTTGGGGATGGTAGAAGAATTAGATTTTGGTCTGATTGTTGGACAGAGGGTGTATGTCTTAGAGATGAGTTTCCTAGACTATATTCTCTATCAGTTGATAAAGAAGAGTCGGTATTCATGTTTCACAGCAATAGAGATGTATATGGGAATTGGGTGTTTAATTTTAGGAGGCCACTTTTTGCTTGGGAGGAAGCAGAATTGAGTAGATTACTAGTACTTCTGAGTAGGCCTCCTTTGCTTAGAGCTAATGTGGCAGATTGTTTGACTTGGAAGGCAAATACAGCTGGTTGTTTTAGTGTCTCATCTGTTTATCAGTGGTTTGAATTGGGCTTTGGGTCTAATAGTTTGATCTCTAGAGTTTTGTGGAAGGCTCCTGCTCCACCAAGGGCACAATTCTTTGGTTGGTTGGTGTGGAAGGGTAGAATCAAGTCTGCTAGTTATTTGCGCAGAATTGGTATCCTAAATGACAATGTTGATGTTTGTTGTGTTTTTTGCAAAGAAGAGGAGGAAACTATTAACCATGTGTTACTTCACTGCCATCGTGTGTGGCTGATCTGGTCTTATTTTGTCAGAAGGTGGGGGTGGCAATGGGCTTCACCAGGTTCTGTTCAGAGTGTTATTCAGTGGTGGACGGGTTGTAGCATGAGGAAAATGGAAAAGAAGCTATGGAGTGTAATTCCATATGCTATTTTCTGGTCCATATGGAAACAGAGGAATGACTCTGTGTTCAATCGGGTGGAGCCTAATTTTCTAGCTTTGTGTGAATCTATTGAGGTTCGAATTGCTTTGTGGATTAAGTCCTATGTCCCAGCTCTGAACTTCACTGTCAATGACCTAGTGCATAATTTGCAACAGATTAGAAGATGCTTGGCTTAGGAGTTGTTGCAACAGTTTGAATGGGATCTTTGTGACTTTCTGCAGCTTTGGTGGGGTAAAGCAGAGGAGGTTTCAATTGCCGGTGTGATGAAATGGTATGTTACTGGTTGATCTGTGTGGGAGGAAGAATAGTATGTTATGCTATGAATGCTGTATGGCTGGAGTGCAGTTGGAGTTATTGCTTCTGATGGCTAACACATATTAGGTGGTTTTGAATTGGTGGTCTGAATTGGTTTGTTGATCAATCTCAGCCAAGGGTGTTGTAGTAGTGGTTAGCAGTTGACTGTGCACTGGTTTGCTGTGGACAGGAAAGGTGGGCTCCCCATCCTCTTCTGCCAGCTGCTGCAGTTAATTGATTTAGCTGGGGGCTAATCCATCTGAGGGTTGTGCTGTGTGGAGTAACTAGGCTTAGCAATTTTGGAAGCTTGTTGTTCTGGTATGGTGCCTTCTGGGGATGTGCTGTGTTGATCTAATTGTGTTTGAATTTTGGTCTGCTATGGATGAATTATGGTCTGCCAAGGCTGAAGGCAATTGGTTCATGGGCTGTTTTGATTGGGGGGCTCATCAGTTTCAATGTTCTGGTTTTCGGCCTACTTTATGGTGGCTACTATCAGTTTGCCTTCTTAGATCCCAGGTTGAATCTTGCTGGAATTTTGTAGTATAATTCTGTTTCTGGGTTGAACTGTGCAGAGGAGGAAGTTTCAAAATTGGTCTGCTGTTGGTAGTTGGGGGTAGTAATTATAATTGAGTAACTAGGTGCATGCTGGTTCTGAGATTTGATACACATAGTGGATCTGCTGCTGCTATATACTCCAAGGAGAAGCTCTTGTTTTAGAGTTGAGTGGGTCAAAGCATTGAGTTCATATTTGAAGCATCTTAACAGCTGTTCAAGGCAAGGTGTTTGGTATGCTTTGTTTGAGCTGTGAGAATTCATGGCATATAGCTCAGAAAATCTGTGCCTTTTTTGGTGATTGTAGTGACTAAGTTGTCTGTTTTTTCTGGTTTTTTTCTCCGTTGTGTTTTGCTCGTTGGTTTCTCACCAACTTGGAGGTTGGAGCTTGTTTTAGCTCCAAGCTTCACTTTATTGATGTAATTTTCCTTTTCCATCAATAAAGTTTTCTTTTGCCGATCAAAAAAAAAAAAAGTATGTACAACCACCACTGGTTCACCTTGTCGACCTTGATTAGGAAACAAAGTCTTCATCCAGTATTCATTTTTTATTTTTTTCATTTTAACTTTACCTAATCAATAATATTTTTGTCAATTTCTTCTATATTATATTTTATTTGTTATTGTATTTTCTAGAAACACCAAAAGTGGTTGAGTAGTATGCACAACAACTACTTGATTGGTGAGACCCTTCTCTTCTTTATTATTTCCCAACCTTATTGACCCTGGTAAGAAAATGGAGGTTTCACCCAGTAATGTTCCTTTTATTTTTTCATTTTACTGTAAGAAGTATGGACATTTTTAAGAAGATGATGTATCTGTTCCGTGTTTGTATTGGACACCGATACTTTTTGGACACTTCTCGAAAAGTGTCGACACTTGTCAAAACTTGTCTTATTTTCTATTTTATTTTATTTTATTTTAAATCCGGACACTTATCGGACACTTGGAGAACATACGTGTCTATTGATTAAGCATGTGTCTATTGATTAGACATTGGCAAAACTAATTATAAGTTTAAACAAAGTAACTTAAGATACAATAAAAAAATCAGATTATAGGAATTAGTTCATTTCAAGTTATTATTATTATTTTTGAATAATATATTCATATATATCTATATATAATAAATATATAAAATTATATATTTCATGTGTATTTCTTTCGTGCCATGTTCTTCATTTTTTTAAAATTGACATGTTAGCTTGTCGCATCCATGTCGTATCGCGTGTTTGTATCTATGCTTTTTAGATTTTAACTTTACCAAAATCAATAATGTTTTCATGTATTTTCTTATATATTCTCTTTATATTATATTCGATTTTTGATTTGTTTACAGAAAATGAAGAGAATGAGATGGAGGAAAATCCAATGGCAGAAGGAGAAACAATCATTAGGCAAGTTAACAAATCTAAAGATGCTACTTCTTCAGCTCCTGATGGCGGTGCAAATGTTCCATACATCAATTTTGATTTTCTTTGAAAAGAAAATCTTCAAGCGAGTTTCCTATGGATGAAATAATGTCAAAACTTTATGTACTTGAATTTTGAATTTTATTTTGTTGAATCATCAAACTATGTAGGACAACAATAACTATATAAACTATGTGTGTTAAACTTATGTTTTTCTTACTATTTGGCTAACTATTAAAGTCAAGTTGAGTCACCATGGCAATATCTATAGAACCAATATGATAAATCACATGCCTATGATTATTAGATCTATTTCGTTCAATTTTTAGGTTTTAGTAGATGTAGACAATAAATTTATATTGCTATGATTATCGGATCGATCAGTCAATTTTTTCCCATAGATAATTTACATATTGAAGCCTAAAAAATGAATGAAATAGTCTAGAAGTATCTATTAAAATCTTTCACAGCATGGAATTAGCAATTCCCATTCCATGGTTGTTTTCTTGGTTATGGTGGGACAATTGTTTTGCTATGAGGTTTGTTGCCACTACTGTCTTTGGTTAAGATTTTCTTCTTTCTAGTTATTCACTTGGATTGTTCTTGAATTGATAAGTCTAAGGAACTAGAAAATTAACTTAAAAAATACCATGAATTTGAAATCTATAGTGTATATTGAAAGTTTTTGTTGTGGGCCACACGTTAAATGAATCTTGGCCATTGATGCTGAATTCTAAATATTTTTTCTGGTATTGTAGTATTTTTGTTCTTGAATTTGTTAGCAAGTTTCATAATTGTTGTTGCTTCATTTTAGTACTTTTGGTTGGAACCTCTCCAACTTTTTTGCTTTTGATTTGTACTTGCATATGATTGGATTTGTTTTTCTGTTCCAACCTATAGACACCCCATTTTTTATTGGCCTTAAGACTCGGGCGCTCTCCAAAAGTTCACGATGATGAAAGCAAGAATGCACCATTTCAGCTCAACTTTAAACCTCAGATGAAGAAGAATATCCACCCTTTTTAGCTAAAAGAGTTTTCTAAACCTTTAAAACCATTTTCAAAAATGATTTTCAAGAGGCTAACGGCAACTTCTCAAATATTCCATTGAATTCGTTCTTCGTATTTCAAAATCATGATCTATTTTTAAGAAAGCAAGTATAAAAGCTAGAATCAATGAGAAGGTGGGAAAACCCTTTGAAAATTGACTTGGCCAAACCATTTTTGCCCGACTAGACTCTTTTCTAAATGTAATTGTACGGTTGGCACAAAATTGGCCGGCAAACAATCCGTTTCTAGATGGTGGTCTCCTAGCATTTTGGAATATGCCATACGTGTCCCCTTGATATTTTTGACATTTTGGCATATTCTAAATCATTTTTTGCCTATAAAAAGACCTCCTTGTAGAGAGGGAAAAGGTTGGCACATTTGAGACGTGACTCTAACATCAAGAGCAATTCTCTCTCTCTCTCTCTCTCTCTCTCTCTCTCTCTCTCTCTCACACACACATATCTATATATACATCCTTCACTACTAAAAAAAAATACTTTTTGCGACCACTATAAACCGTCGCAAATAATAAAAACAGTCGCAAAAGACTTTTTGTGGCGGCCCATGCGACGGCAAATGGGGGTCGCGAATGTGGGGGTGGCAAATACTTTTTGCGACAACAAAGCAACGGTTGCAAATTATTTGCGACCGCCTAAACTACTTATGGCAACCGTTATTTTGCCGTCGCAAAAAACAAAGAAAAACACTAACATGATTTTTGGCGACTATCTTGTTACCATCACAAAAAAAAGAAAGAAAGGTATAGCGTTAAGCACTCTAGGAATAGCAATAACAAGAATCCAGACAGTATAGTATTGTAGTTTAATTGAACATTCCATTTGAGTCTCAAAATTTGAGCCATATGTGAAAGTTATTACAACTAAAAACTTGGGAAAAGTTCTTTTATGAAAAAAATACAATCCAGAACTGGCCAATCTTCTCATCAATTTTCTTGCTCGGGTGTTTCTCCACTCTATCGATGAACTGGCCAATCTTTTAATCAATTTTCTTTTCAAGTTCCACATCACAACATTGCACCTATGCAACAAAAATTTCAGGCATTAATGATAAAAATTATATACTGCCAAAATAAAAATTATCAATTTTAATCACTCCTATGGGTATAGTGCAATTAGATTGAAAAAAGGTAACATGTCACAATCCAGATTTCAATCTGGGATGCAATAATTCGAAGGGAAAACACTTTAAATTGGAGAAACTCTCACCTTGTCGATAATAGCCTCAACAAGTTCATCAGTTAGCTTCACGTCAGATTCCATCATAATTGCAATCACCATTTGCTTCACTTGAAAGCACTTGCTGTTTTACCCGTAATTCATGAATGAAATTTAAGGAATGTGCACAGTTTAGTATGATAAAAAAGGTCACAGACCATGAAATTTCACCAAATGAAACTGCAAAAAAAAAAAAAAAAGGGCATCCTTAAACAAGTTTTAGAAATAAAAAGGTCTAAGGATGGCCAGCTTTCAACTAGTTTTTTTGATATCACTTCTCTTTTCTTTCTGTCACTCAATGAATACATAATACATATATACCTCCAGATAAAGGGCTAAATTCTGTTTTGCACTAAATTGAATGAATTCAAGGCCTTTGAAATATATATATATATTTGAAAAGTTCCAAGCCTTTCAAATATTGCCCAAATCATAGAAACATGGCTAACTAAACTTTGAAGGTTTGATCTTCTGTCTTCAACCCACTAATGACAGGAAAGCAGCAGACAAACAACATGACCAGTTGACTGCCTTAGCAAAAGCATGATAACAAATGCAAACTTATTTCAATAAAAAAAGATTATATTCATCTAGTTATTCACACATTTGTCAATAGCAGTAAATTTAAAGCATAAATCAAACCAAACTAAGCCTTATGCCCCAATATGTTAAAAATTATGGAGCAAAGAATTGGCCATCAAATCATTCATGTTCTTAAGGTCCCCAAGATCCTGATAAATTGAGGCAACCATTGGTTATTATGAATGTTTTATGTATGAGTCAAACATTTATGCTCATTTAAGCATATGTTACTGAATTCCACATCACATTTAAGCATGCATGCCTTTTTGAATTCCACATCTTGAAGGTATTAATTCATATATTTCATGTGTAAATACGCTTTTTGGAAGGGGAACACTACAAGAAAAATCACTTAGTATGAGACATTTAAGCATATGTTACTGAATTCCACATCACATTTAAGCATGCATGCCTTTTTGAATTCCACATCTTGAAGGTATTAATTCATATGTTACTGATAGAAAAAGGTATTAATTCATATGTTTCATGTGTTTGTGCTTTTTCTTGTAGTGGAATCATAAAGTCAATACTTCATGCACATCTCCACGCTATTAGCAAATGAACATCTATGTTAGTGAAAGGATCATTTACCAGATAAAGCTACTTAATGTTAGTGAAGGGATCATTTACCAGTACATTTTGGTTATAACAACTAGAGATAATACCCAGAGAAATGCATACCTATTCATTTTCTTTTGAAGCTTGCTGCCCACTAGATGCATCTGACACCTACAATATGTTAGTATAATGTGTTAATAATTTCCATATGTATATATACAAATTGATTATAAAAAATAAAAAAAAATTAAAAAAAAAACTGTTTTTAAACATTTTTAAAAAATAAAAATAAAAAATAAATAAAAAATAAATAAAAATAAAAAACTGCTAAAGTTTGGCTCTAATTTTGTTGAAATTTATCCTACAACAAAAACTTATAAAGAGCAACTTTAGATTCTAATTTTGTTAATTTGGTCCCCAAATTAGAACTTATGAATTTAAAATCTCTTCACAAGGTTGCCTAAAGCATCATAACTATAGCACCAATATAATATATATATATATATATATTATAAAAAAGTTGTGGGCATTAGTCTCATATTTATAGGCCTTCATGACTATTTGATCCTGAGGCAGTTTTGGTATTATTTCAACTTAAGGCTTCAGAAACCACCTAAAGAGATGAAAAGTGATATACATAATCATATGAAATAATATCAATTCTTGAGGTGTGTAATGCTCTATAAAAAGCGTTTTGCCTCTCTCAAATGTTGTGAAGGAAAGAAATTACTAATCCTTTTGGCATTGCAAATTAAAAAAGGAGCGCACTGAACTTTGCCTTCTTTTCATGTTCACTTTTCTCTCACTTATTGTATCATCTAGATATATTGACTTGAGGAGGAATATTGTTTTGGATATCATGAAATGAAATTGTATATGTTCTTGGTGAAGGTTTCTTGTTTTACTAATCAATTACAAATTAGGTGCTTGTTTTGGGTTTCACAAATTGCCAATTTATGGGCAATTTCTTTTACAGGATATCTGCATGGCTTACCTTTTGCATATGAATTTCAAACAAGACACTGTTAGTGACCATATGAATTCCGTTTTATGTTATCTGTTTTGATTTATGAAACTGCACGTTTGATGAACGTGTATATAAACTTGTGAATTAAAACTTCACATTAGAGACTTGACAATCTTTTTTGAATCCCTCTTCTTTTACAGCTTAAAAGACTTCTCTGCATTTGCAGTGGAATTTTCATTGTTAAATCTGATAAAGAAATGTGACTGTAGACTAGTAGATTTTAAGTTAGATTTGCCATGGATAGATAATGATGCATTAGCATTACTGTTCAAAATAGCTTATGATATACATAATCATATGAAATAATATTAGTATAAATTACTACATTCTACGACAAGGCTTAATTAGTTACCTTCTTCATTTGCAATTGCCGGTAGATTGGCATTTGAAAACTTTGAAAGTTGTAGTAAGCACTCCTAATTTTAAAGCCTTTGGCCACTTGAGAGGCTTGAGCTTTGTCCAAATGCTGATTTCTAATAGAGAAAGAATGTGAACGAATCTAAAGCTTTCTTGGTAGAATTTATAGAGGGCTGGTCCTTGTGGGAGCAATATACACTAATTTCTAGTTTTAAATGATGTCAGTCCTATTATCATATTCATTTTTATTTATTTATCAATT